AAGGGAGCAGGTCTCATCGACCCGTCCACTCAGTGGTGCGGAGTGTTCCATCTCCGTCCTGCTCTGTTGTTTTAAGCTCGGCACACGGAACTGACACCCCCTCCTCCCCCGCCCCACCCATCACCCCCTCACCCCACCCCAGGTTTGGGACTGAACCAGAGTTATTCCCACCAATATTGTGGGGATAGGAGAGCCATCAGCATTTTCAAAAGGGGTAGGATTTGATAAATAATAATAATCCTCGTATTTGGTGCAGTATGACGCCTTTTGCGTTGAGAGGACGCCTCAAAGCGCTTCCCAGGGCTTTACTGTGAGGTGCAGTGACTGTGTGTTTTGTGGGCAGCACTCCTTGGCTAAAGCATCTGCGCTTTGCTGGAGATTAAAGTGAATCAGAGCATGGAAGTGCAGTGCTGGTAACTGCTGACAGCTGATCCAGTCAGTCAATTTGAATGAAACCCCAGGAATTGTCTGTCGAGCTCCCCTTTCATCGTCTCTTCAAACAGTGTCTGGTTTTACTGTGGGATGATCGCAACAAAATTTTCTACGCAGCTATACAAAACAGGTAAGCATGAGTGACAACAGGGCTTGTGTAAGTAACTCGTACACAACAAGAACTGCAACAACTTGCATTTATATAACGCCCTTCACACAGGGTAGCGTCCCAGAGCGCTTTATAAATACTGCGAGCAAAAGCCCAAGGATGTTACGGGGGAGGAAGCATTCCCCATTCGACAATGTTACCCAACATAACCCGATACGGTCCTCCGAATGAGACGCAAAACTGTGGTCACCTCTGCCTGTCCGGATCACATGGCTCTGTTCGAAAAGAGAAGGGAGTTTTTCTCTCCCGGTGTCCAGGCCCCCAAATAAAAAAAAAAATCGGTCACTCGCTCCATGGCTGTTTGTGGGATATTGCCGTGTGCCACCGGCTGCCGCGTTTCAGTCACAAATTACCCAGTCAATCCACTTTACAGTCCAGTATATCCTGCGAAGCGCTTTAGAGATGTCTCAACCACATGATAACAACCCTTCCATTTGGTACGGGGCCTTATCACACTGTCGAGATGTCTCAAAAGCGCCTCACGGGATTTACCGCGCAGTGGAGTGATTGTGTACCTGTGGGCGAAACGCACAGCCAATTTGCACCACAACGGTGTCGAGCAAACAAGCCGTTAACCTGGGAGCCAGGAAAAGCTCTCTCCACCTTCCAGCTGAAGAACGGGTGGGTAAGACCATAGAACGTCTCTAACCAGAGGGACAACATCTCCGACGATGCAAATTTCCATTGTTTCTTTCTAAAATTGCTCTTTCAGCCACTACGCCCCAAAGTTCTGGAACTCTCCCTCTATCCCTCCACCTTGAGCCCTTCCTTCCCCGTATGCAGGTCGTGCCTTAAGACCTTCCCTTTCGACCTACGTGCGAGTTGTTGTTGTAGTCGTCGTTGCAATTGACTTCACTCAGCCAGAAGTCCTGCGTCGATCGCTCTCACTTACGTGCGCGGGGAAAATAAATCAAATGCATTCAACCACACTGTTCGTTCGTCTCAAATCGGGAACGCTGATAAAATCCACAACAGGGGGCAGTGACAACCAATGCTGTGTACCACAGTAACAGCCCAACTTCATCACACACACCAGTTAAGAGATGCTCCTCATGCATGGAATAAATTGCGTCTCCCACTGTTCCCAATTATACATCATATCACAAATATTTTTTTTTAAACCAGTCGAACAAATAAGTTGCGAAACACTGAGGCTGACAATCTGCCCGTTCTGCTGCTACGTTCCGTTCTGTCGATACCTTATGGGATTTCATAAAAGATCCTATTCCACGTGTTCTTTTCACCCCCCAAATTGGTCACCTATCTGCCCACGAAAATCTTCGACCCACGGAAATTCACAATGGCTTACGTTTACCCAGAACCTGCACGCAAGGGTGTGGGTGCAAGGGTGTGGGTTTCGGAGAGCTGATCGATGGCAGAGTTTGACACCGAGCCAGGAAGACTGGCTGTTGCGTTTCGCCCGCAAAATACACAGTCGATTCACTCCACGGTATATTCTGCGAATTGCTTTGACCCGTCTCGTAGACGTGCTAAGGCGGCGCTGTATCAGATGCAAGGGTTCTTATTAACATTCTTCTTATCTCAAATCGTTGAAATGCAAGTGATTGTGGATTCAAAAATATTTTTTTTCGCTCCAGGCAAAGCATTGATGTTAATGCAGAGCGAGCTCGTAAAGCGGAACTGTTAGCATCACTGATGGCTCTGCTAAAATGGAACCCCATTTGCCCTAATAAAAGATAATTTACAGGAGGCGGCAATCGGTTGTCATTAGAAAAAAAAATCTAATAAATAAGCAATTGACCTTCTTACACTGACGAGGCATAATGCAATTAGTGTCCCGAGGTGTAAATCAGAAGTGAAGGCAATTCACTTCCAATGCGTTGAAGCTGCTCCAGCAAATCATGCTGGAAGATATTTTGGTTGACTTGCCAATATGACAGATAACCCTGAGAAAAAGTGACATTTCCATTTAACTGTGCCTCTTTGGAAAACAGGTTCGGAGATTCGCTTCACGGGCGTGCGGGTGCTTTGTGGGGAAATGTTATTTTTTCAGCTGATGGTTTGAATTTACAGACTGCTCGCATATGATCACTCAAGGTAATTAAAGTTCCCACCGCCTCGCTCCTTTCCCCCCTCACCCCTTCTCCCTCCCTCCCACGAGACCTTTCTTTTACAACTGCTTTTGTGTGCAGCAACCTCATGTAAAAATAGACATAAAATTGAATGACTGATTTTGCCCTCCCTGCCCTCCACCCCTCCTGATACCAACCTCCAGCTCGAGTCCAAATCCCTGACTGCCCCAGCGCCTTGGGACGTCCTCCCAACGTGAAAGGCATGGTACAAAATGTAATTTGTTGTTGTTGTTATCTGGATACCGGGGAAGAGAATCTCCCTTCTCCTTTCGAATAGCAGGATATCAAGTTCACATCAACCAATGCTCTGCACCAATATAAATTTTCCCAACCTCCACCCTTGCATTTGAACCGGCGCCTTTCACATGCATACCTTGTAGGACGTTGGCTTAAAGTCCCTTCGGAAGGGAGCAGGACAATACTTAAAACAGCTCTTTCAAAGTCAGAGCAGTCCTGTGCTGTGTGTGTGTGTGTGTAGTAAAAAAAAACCCCAGCAAATAACCTTAAGAGGACTCGCATTGAAAACCAGAATAGATTACTGAAAGTATTCACAGTGCTATGATCTCCAGAATATCTCAACAAAAGGGACTGCGATGTGTAAATGATTCTTAGTGGCATTTTATCTGTGCAAAGAAACGGAACAAAACCTCCGAGGCTCCTTGTTGCACTGCTGCGTTGTTGCGTGACCCATTTACACGCAGGTAAGAGAGATTTGGTTAAATGTCACGTAAGCCATATCTTGCCGGAGCCGTGATCTGTCACAGCTGCTGGCGTCTGCAATCTGTCGAGAGTTATTTTGAGCGTGAGCAGGAGCTGCTCACAAACCTCCCCACAAACAAACAGCCGAGTTTCCAACAACACAGACGCTGGGCACCTCATCTCAATTTGCCCGGTTGAAAGTCTCGTTCCAGTTTCACCTTCTGCCCCAGTCAACACCTCTCCGCACACTGCGTTTAGCTCTCGCTGCAAACTGGCTGTCCTTTCCTCTACCCCACCCACCCCACCTCCCTCCCTGTCTTTAAGTCCCACCTTAAGACTACCCTGTATCAAGGGATATGGAGCAAAGGTGGATAAATGGACTTGCGGTCCAGATCAGCCATGATCTAGTAGAATGGCGGAACAGGTTCGATGGGCTGAATGGCCCCTCCTGTTCCTATAATAATAATCCTTGGATCAGATATAGCATCTTATCAAGTCGCTGATTTGTCTCAAAGCGCTTCATGGTAAAACACTTTGTATTTAAAGGGCGAAACGTGTTGTGTTCCCGTGTTACTAGGTTCCCTCCTCCCTCCTCATGTTCAAAGCCCAACTGAAGACATATTTCTTTGACTGCGCTTTCAGCCATAACCACCCCCCCACCCCCACCCCAGCCTCACGCACTCCCTTTAGCGCCAACCTAATAAAAGACGCTGAATCAAATGTAAGGATTATTACTCTTGTTATTTCTAATTTGAAGTGCTTGCCTCTACTCTGGAGGCCCCCTTTTAATTGCCGAGAGATTTGTTCATTATATATTCAACTTTTATAGCCTATGTGGGGCGTCCGCAGGAAAGATTAATTAATCCTCTTCACTGAAGAGAGTTTGGGATTCAGCGCTGAATACTGATGAGAACACTGATTTTTTTGTGCAAAAACTGTGCGTAACCACAGACAAGTCGTAATCTAATTCTAATCCTCGCGTTTGATACAGCGCCTTAGCACGGCATTGAAGCATTTCAAAGCGTTTCACAAGTTTTTACTGTGAAGTGCAGAGACTGTGTATTTTGTAGGCAGGCAAGCATCAGCCAATTTGCGTGGAGCGGACGATTTTGTTGGAGGGGGCGGGGTGGGGGGAGGGGGAGCGGGGGTGGTGGAGGGGGAGAATTGTCAGCTGGGACACCAGGAGAGAGAAGCTTCCTTCTTTCGAATAGCCCTGGAGTTTTGACGTCCGTGGCTTATTGCACTCGGGAAACGTGTTAGGGGAAAACGCAGGAGAATCTGAAACGGGCAAAAGTACCAGATGCCAGCCTCCCAGGACGTCCAAGGACAAACCGGCTGCCACGTTTGCCTTCAAACGCACAGTGACTACAGAAATTTTGCAAAGCACTGCATGATTTATAATGTCCACCCCAACAGGTGAACAGACAGGGAGCTCGGTTTCGTCCAACAGATGGCACCTCCAACGATGCAGCACGTCCCGAACCCTCCCAACCCCCACCCCAACTACCCCCCCCAGCACTGCGCTGGAACCTCAGCCTGGAACAGTGAGCTGGTCAGGTAGTTTCTCTTACAAACTGAGCAAACACAGGATATCGCAAGGCACTGACCTGAAGCTCCACTCCGTAGCCTGTGTAGACGATGATGCTGTAGGTACAATCCAGATTGGTGTAGAGCAGGTGACTGGGGTATTCTGGCGACTCAATGTGACCCTCCTGGTCCGTGAAATTTAAACTGCAAGGGACTGTGAAGGAAAACAGGCAAATGATGTAACAAACTCTGCGAAAGGCATCGGCCGAGCTCTCCCTTGATCCCATTTTATTCTTTTTTGCAGAGAGTTGAGTCCTCGGCAAGAGTTTGCTTTGCGGATCAATAAAGAACCTGATCCCCACTGACTGCAATTGATTTGCTGGTGTGTGACCCTCGCTGAGACAAATCTGCCCTGGGGTCAGGCTGTTTCGAGTCCGCAGCTTATTGCCTCTCTCCCCCCCCAAACCCCTCCCCACCCACCCCCCACTCATAAAACTCGAGGAGGAAAAAAATCCCATCGGAGAATCCAAGAAGCCACCCCATAACATCGAATGCCAGCCTTCCAGGAAACCCAAGGCCAAATTGGCTGCCACGTTGGTCTTCAAATGCACAGTCACTACACTTTGCAGCAACTTTGTGAAGCACTTGGAGACCTTCGCGGGATTTACACACGGTGAAGGGTACTCGGGAGGGAGACTCCCACACAAACGATCAAGTTCGACCAGAGGATTGTTGGGGAGGAACATCCTTCTTTGTCTCTTTGTTTGAAAAATGCTCGTAGGGCATTCAACCTGGGTTTTATCGTCTCACCTGAAGGACTGCACATGCGATAATACAAACTCCCCCCCAAAACCCCAACCCCCGGGGCATTGTGGCATCAGCTAAACAGACATTTCGGATTGAAAGCAGCCTTGACCTCTGCAGTTTTAACCCCGGGATAATATTATGCGGAATTCATAAAAGGCAGTTAATCCAAGTTCAGAGATTTATTCTGTCGGCTCGCCCTGGTTTCTCGTTCTGTGAGCTTCTTAACCGTTTAGAGAAACCGAGGCTGGAAGAAGAAGTTAAGATATTTGAACTCAACGATTATGTTTTCTTGTTTGCCTTCAGGTCAATTTCTTTTTCTTTTAAATAAATGATCAGTTGCATTAAAATGTTCCGCACCCCTCTCTCTGACACACTCACGAACACATGCACATACACACGCTCGCACACAAATACTTGGAACGAATCCTTTTAAATGTGGAGGGGTGTTGGGGAATTAAAAATGGTTGAAAAATTGCAGCTAAGGGGAATTTTAATTGGCTTCACCGAATTCACAACGGATTGGAAACGAAACGCGTTATGTGTCAAAAACTGAGAAAAACGTTTAGACAACCTGACTATTTGAACAAAAATATTCCACTAGGTTGTCCCTTCACCCCATTCTGCCAATCCACCATCCCCCAATGTACTCCTGTCTCCTGAAATGATTGACATTGTCACGTGCCATCCATTGACTCGCTTAACGACCCTGTGCACATTGCAGCTACATCTGAATCCTCTCGTCAGCTACACCCAAACAAAGCCCTCAAAGGGTATTCGATGTTGCACTTGCGGTCGGCCGGCAAAGCACAGTCACTCCACTGTTCAGCAATCCAAGAGAAGCGCTTCAGAGGTGTCTTGACGTGACAGGCGCTGAATCACACGCAAGGGCTTATATTTAAAGACAGTGCGAGGTTATAATATTAATCATAATCCTTGCATTTGATATAGCGCCTCATCACGCCATTGAGAGGCCTCAAAGCGCTTCACAGAATATACGGTAAAACGGATAGGCTGTGTATTTTGTCAGCCGATTGAGGACAGCAGTGCCTTGCGAACAGTCGCTGATTGAGTCACCCAAATTTTTAAACAAATATTATCATTATTATTACAATGAGAGATAAATCTCTGTTGTTACATGCGCTTCTTTTCCCTGACCCAGGCACCTACTCAAAAGCTAGCATTCAGAGCCTGTCTTCCTTCGGATCTCTGCACAATATTCGCAAATGAGGCCTTTACCTCCCACATACATCGTTAGGGTCAGGATAAATTGCAGCGTACAAGGAACAAATTGCAGTGTAATAAAGTGAAAAACAGATGAGACTTTGAAGCAAACCCGATTGGAAGAGACTTCCTCTGGCTGTTTGTAGGAAAGGGCCATTATTTTAATTCATCTGCCGCCAACACCATCACACAGCAGTGGCACTCTCTCAAATAATTCAGTTGGTGTTAACAACGGCCATTTCCACTGCAGAGATTGTTCAGCCAACATTTTCCCAAATCCTTGATAACTGGTGCTGGGAAACGGGTTCAATTGCGCCACAAAGTGACTCACTACCATCACGACCGGCTGTTTTTCGCCCGAAAGCGAGGACTCTAGAGGTGCACATGTTTGCTTCAGTGGAGTGGAGCTACGATGTGAGTTAGTGGTCGGCGCAAGCGAGCGGTCACTCAATCCACGACTGTTTGGGGGACACACAGTTTAAACCTTGACACTTAGTTCCTACCCCCCTTCCCCCCCCCAGCCCCCACGTCGCCAAGCAGCCGTGTGTCGGCAGACACGTCCTCCTGACGTGAAAGGCGCTTTACAAGCCTTAATTTGCTGTGGTTGTTACCTGGAGTCTGCACGGTGGTGATGATGGTGGTGGTGATGATGGTGGTGGTGGTGGTCTCCTCGTCGGCTTCAACGGCAAACGCCGCCGCCATCGTCGTTTCCGGGGGCGACGTGTCAGCGCGGCCCGTGCCAGGCCCCTGCATTTGCAGCATTCCCGCCGTGCCGGCCGTCGTTACGGTGGCGCCGGGGGTGGGGGCGTGGTCAGCCAGGGCGGTGGTGGCCACCTGCGGGTCGGGGTTGCCGCGGGTGCCAGTCTTGGTGACCGGGAGCTTGGTGCCAGGCTCGGTGCGGGCCAAGGCGGTGTTGCTGTTGTGGAAGGCGGTCTCGGGGGCCTGCGACCCGCCGGCCGTGGTCAGGGAGTCGGTGGTGACGGGCAATCTCGCGGCTCCGGTGTGCGCCGCTCCCTCGAAATCGGCCAAGGGAATGGCGTCCGTCACCATGGAAACCAGCGTGGTGGTGGTGGGAGCCACCGTGGTCGTTGTGGCCACCTCGGGGAAAAATGGCGGGTCCTCGGTGACCACCTGGGTCACCGAAGGATCACGGGAATCGGAGACGGGCCCCGTCGGCGCCACGTTGGCTCCCAGGCTTCCGGCGAAGTAGCCCTCCTGCCCGAGGTAATCCTTCTTCAGCAGGGACTCGTGAAGGATCTCTTCCAGCAGCAGGTGGTGGTTGTTGATGCTCAGGGCGGGCGCCGTGCTGACAGAGCGGGCCTCCAGGTCGCTGGTCGTCGTGGCAACCGTAGGTCCAATCTCCGTCTCCAGCCCCGTCTCCATCCCCATGCCTTTGCCACTCACAGCATTGATCTCCCCGTTCAGCTGGTCTGCAAGTAAGCGAGATGGGACAAAGAGCGATGATCAGTCAGTCACGTTATCGGGGGCAATATTCCTTACAATGTACTCCTCGTCACTCATCACTCCAAGGGAAAAGGGCCCAGTGATGAGCTATCGGGAGCGGCCAGTTGAGCGTGTGTATAAATTACATAAAGCGGCTGGGAATATTGTCCGCACGATGACTTCAGTGGTAGTGACAGGTCAAGCCAGCGTCGCGTTGTCAGGAGTTTTACTGTACAATCTCTTTGCATTTTCACACGGAGCCTTTCACGTCGGGGGGGGGGGGGGACATCTCAAACCTCAGGAGCAAAAACAAAAAGGCAACGACCGCATAAGCCCTTAAACCCCCCCCCCCCCACCCTCACCACCAGGCTCTAAACGCAGGGGAACAGATGAAAGCAGAGAAGAAAGCGTCTCTCTGGCAAGCAGTCACTCGTGTTCTGGGAAGTCTTCACAAACTCCAGGAGCGCTCATTGTGTTGCCAACTGAACCCAATCTGTCACCAATTGAGACCGCGGATTAATTCATTATTATGAGGAACATGGTGTAAAGCTTCCTTAATTACCCAAAAGGTTGGATTTCAGCCGTTCTATCTCTCTGGCTCCTACAAGTAGGTTGGGAAACCTCCACCCACTTTTTAAAGCGCTTCCTGTCTTTAATGTGTCAGAGCTCCGGATAACACTACTTTTGTTTTAATGAATACTTTTATGAGTGCTGCGTAGGTCTCATAAAACGGTAGATTACCAGACGGACGTTAACGCAAGCAGAAATTGCTTTTCAGTTCATTTGGGACGGGGAAAGAAAAATCATCTCCCTGATAAGGATCGTCGCTTAAAACGATGTTCTCTGGAGATGTTCTAACAACCGGTGCATTCGTTATAAATCCTCAACAAGTCCTTATGTCTTTCAGAGCCAAATGCGATAGCCCATTTCGACCCATCTCCGTTGCAAGCAGCCCCCGACTGTGAGTTGTCTTAACACCAATCGCTGAAAGCCCATTACCATCACTTCATTAATCCCCCCGCAAAACAGAGAGGGACAAGCCTTCCAGCACAGAACCTCTGCAACACCCACACCCCCCCCCCCCCCCTCCTTCAGTGATACCTCCTTCCTCATTGAAATTCTATAATTTGCTATTAAAAAGCAGAGTGGGGCCGTGTTGGGGGGGGTGGGAAGCGCTTCATTGTCGGAGACGACATCCTTTTGAAAGTCCTTTTGAACGTCCTGCGTCTGTGTCTGTTCAGGTGGACGTTAAAGATCTCGCAGCGCTGTTTCAGAAGAGCAGGGAGTACCGCAACGGAGTTGCTTCAAATAAAGTCAGTCATTTAATTATTCAATTAATAAATCGTTAAATGCCGCATTTCGCTTCGAGACGCCTCAACGGCGCGATAAGCACTATATCAAATGCGAAGACTGTCACGATCATCATTGTTATGATCACTTCGAGACTGATGGCGGGATTTTTCCGCGTGCGGAAACAGGCTGCCGCCACAAGTCACTACACCTCATGGCAAATCCTGCGAAGCGCTTTCACAAAGCCGCACGTTGCGAACGGCATCAGAGCAGCAGTCGGGAGAAACATCCTGTGCAATGTTGACAGATGGGCTTTTTTTTCAACCGAGGCACCCTTTCAAAAGTGAGTTATGTGTGCGATGCAAGACAATTTATTGCCTGCATTTGTCAGGAAGCGTTTGGAGCATGTCCAGGATCTCGGGAGAGGCAAACTGGTCTGTTACTGCACACTGTGCAAGCTACCGCTATAGGGGTAAGGGGTCCTGTAGAGTATTGGTGAGAGTGCTCTCCTCGCAAGTGAGAGGACCCGGGTTTGATTCCCGGTTGGCCGGGGCGAAACCTTAGCTAAGTTTCCTGACTTCATACATCTCTGTTTACCCAGCAGTAAGTACGATCTCAATTGACAGTCGATTTGTCGGATTGCTTTTCCGGGGGTGGGTTAATAATCCCTTCAAAAAAAGAAATAATACTAATAATTTGGTCCTAATGTAATTGCCAGTTCATTTAAAGCTGCGACAAGCAAAGAAGCATAAAGGTTCCCTTGTTCAGCTGGTTTCTGTAGCAGGTTCTGCCTCGTTGGAAACGGATAATAGCAGTGCTGATGGCTTTGGAGATGTGGACTGAAATCACTGAATGTTGTTAATTCACAGGAAACAGAGTGATTTTGCACATCGGCTAAAGAAAGAAACTCCCCCGCCCACCCCACCCCCACCCGGAAAATGATCCATAAGCCGCAAGGTTAAGAAAACTCACAGGAGACAGTGGTGGGGAGAGGAGGAGGGGACGGGGACGGGGTGAGTACTATATGACATTTCCTAACAAATGGTGACAAATTGTAATAATTGTCACACGCGTCACGACAGAGATAAACGCATAGAATCTGCCATAAACTGTCACGAATAATAATACTTACAAAATTGATACAGCACCTTACCAGCATTGCTGCGCTATATAAATGCAAGCTGTTGCCGTTATTTTGAGAAGTCCCGAAGCGCTTCACAGTGTCTTACTGTAAAGTGTAGTGACTGTGTGCTTGGAATCTGGCGTAAAGTGTTGGAAATTTACTCTGAAAGTTGGGTACCTGAGTCTGGGGGGTGGGGGGTGGTGGGGGGTGGTGGCTGAAGAGTGTAAGGTGCAGTGTGGGGTGTGGGGGGGGCGAGGGGGAGTTGATTCAGTCTCGAAAGAGATGCATCAGTGGGTCTGATCATTCCTGACACCAAGTGACTTGCAGCGAGGTTAGTAATTAGCCGCGCACTGTGGCCAGCAAGCTTTTGGTGTCCTGCGGGTCTGTATCCACTAACAAACTGCATTGAGCTGTGCCCAAACTCCTCTCGCTTAGGACTCTCAACAGCTGCTAAAGACAGCAGAATTTTGGCCGTCAGCGAGGGCTCTCTTTGTAATCCACATCGTCAATAGCAACGTGCCGTGAGGCTGTCTCAAGGCGCTCCACGAGGACCTAGCAGGCAGAGCACTGGCTGTATTTTGTGAGTGTGATTTACCCTCTGGTTAAGAACATGTCTGCCCTGAAATTGCCCTTGCCTTGCAACCCTGAACCCATGTCCCGATCTGGACGTGCTGTCAAGAGTGCATTCAAGGAAAGTGTCTGCTTGACTCAAGAGCCTGGGCTGGGAGTGAACTAGTTCGGAGGTTTATGTAAAGTGCCTTAAGACGTTTCAACATTACAGGCACTGGATCAAGCGTAAAGATTATTTATTCATTAAGAAGACAGAAAGTGCCCAGCCTAATCTCTACACAGGGACTTGATGCACTCAGTATTTTTAAAATAAACCCTCCAAAGGAACAGGGCGTCAAAAACCTTCAACTGGTGAGGTGAGGGAGGGGTGGGGGGAAAGAGGGGAAGGTACAATAAAAGAAATGAACCGGGGAAATTGAAAGGGGACAATTTAGTCCAGTGCACGCTAAACAAACAACACACTAACAAGCCTCCACATGAATATCAAAAGCTCCTTTGGTCTCAAGCCAGTTTTGTGGTCCGCCAGCTCTTTGCCATTTGACTCCCAAGTTTTCAAAGAGCAGAAATAATATGCCCTGTTATTAGAAGAGATCTAAGGCTTGTTCCAGCAGGTGCTCCTAAAGAGCCTGAAGTCTGATTCCATTCCTCTGACGAGCGTTCCACTGGTGGTCCTGATATATGACCGTCTTTTAGACAAATGAAATGTCAGAGCTTTCTGTTCCAGAGATACAATCTGGTCGGGTTGGATAGCAGCGCTCAATGCAAATAGAGTATAATACCAGGGCTTTCAAGGGCCAAGGAAGATGATCTGCCAAAGAGGACAGGAGATTCAGTTTGTCCCTTTCATAGTGGTTTAGCTCTCCTGCCTGAATGCGTTCAATAATTTAGCAGTGCACTTACTAGCTTGATGGTTCTCTGCGCAATATCTAGCCCCCGTCCTTAAAGTCAAAAGAAATTGTGCTCTCAGACAGTCTTTTGTGGGGAAAGTAGCCACTGGGCTCGTGTCTTTAGTGTTGTTCAGTGTGATGTGAAAGCCACTGTAACAAATGTACGGATTATCATTGTTACTGTATATTATTATTATCATTATTGTGGAGTCCTGTGGGGTAGTGATTAAAGCACTTGCCTCGCAAGCGAGAGGATCTGGGTTTGATTCCCGGGCAGGGCCAAAGGTTAGGCAAGTTTCCTTACTCCGCACGCCTCTGTTTACCTAGCAGTATGTAGGAAACCGGTTATCAGTCGATGGGCGGATCACTTTTCAGGGAGCAATAATCCCTTCAAAGAGAAAAATAAATAATAATATTACGGTCACTCAATGTATAACTGTTTGTGGGACACCTCTGTGAGCAATTGATTGCCAGGTTTCGCCTGCAAAATATACAGTCAATTCACTTCACTGTATATTCTGTGAAGCGCTTTAAGACGCCTCGAAGACGCGATGAGGCGCTATATCAAATGCAAGAATTATCTCGGGATAATTCCATTGCTATGTTAATCGTTCGAAAGGTAGCGGTGGGTGGACGGGGAAGGACAAGAGAGGAGGAGGAGGAGGAGGAACCGAAAAACAAATTAAAAGCGCTGAAAAATTAACTGACGCATCATTAGTTCTGTAAATTTAATGTGCCCTTAGCAAAATAGAAGACTCCCAGTCTCAATGAGGCAGCATATAAGTAAGCTCAGTCGTGTTCAGTCACCGCAACTTGCTTTTCTCAATCACATTAAAGCTAATGGACAAAAAGGGTCATTGCTCAGAAATTGGTTTGAGGAAGTTCTGATTGTTCTTATATGTGAACACGCCAATATCTAGGGCTTGTGGATAAAAAGCCAGCGGGGGTGAAGGGGGGTGGTGGTGGGAAGAGAACAATGCAATAATTATTAATTTTTTCTTTTTTTTAGAGCGTGTTGCAATGTGGCAGCCTGGCTCAGTTGATAGACTACTCGCTGCTGCATAAGAAAGCACTTTCGGTGCTTTGTATTTGCACAGTCTAAGCTCATGCGTCAGCA